AACTGATAAAAATAATTCATGAACACCGAAACTATTCGAAGAGCTAGACGTTTCGAATCAGCATTTTATCAGCATCAACATATTTACTCTACAGATAAAAAAGTTTATTTTTTATTTTTAGGCCATTGGACTTTCAATTAGTATTTAGTTGTTAAATAAGTACTATTAACATTTACTAATTATTAGTGTAATCCGTTAATTTTAAATTTTATATTCTTTTGAGTCGGTTATCGCATAGTTTTATTTTAATTATCGCATTTAAAGTACTTGTTGTTCTGTTTTTATAAGAACACTAGAAAATGTGTTGTTCTTAATCTTTATCTCATAACAATTATTGTTTTTTATTCGAGATTTTGATGGACAGTGAAAGGACATTTGTGTATATGTCATAATAATGACATCCTACAATAATCTGCCATTAAGTATTTATTTTTACTTGAGTTCTTACAAATATATTAGATATACATTTGTTTAACTGCAAAGATATTTAAAAAAATGTCCTACAAACAATGTAGACTATATTGACGAATAACAAAACAAGCCATTTAAATAAACACTAAACAGCAAGTTAAGTCTAAAAAATCTACATCAAGATAATATATAGTTTACAATTATATTAAATAAAAATAAAATTAACTCCAGAATTTTTTTTCAATACCGATTGCCACCAAATGCGAATCATTAGACATACAAATTGTACAGATAGTGAAATAAATCACGTTCATCGTAGATCATTTCGAAAACTATATTCAATTATTATAGGTTACTTATTCTATACTTGAAAAATTCATAGATGTATTCATATCGTTTTATTGAACAAAAATATCCTAGGTAGATAGGTACCTATTATAGCGGAGACCGCGATAGGATAGATTTCAGCGACCAGTCTGAATAACTACAGCAATAAAACTAAGCGAGTGTAGAATTCAAAAAGAGAGTTTGGTCGAATCGAATCGTATTTTAAATGACCATATAACAATGATTATGTACTGCTCCTATTTTGTTATTCGTCATATTTGCCGTGTATATATTTAATACTTTGGCCGGTTTTATGATTATATTTTACACATCTAACAAAATTAATGTTGAAAATCGACGATTAAATCGCAATTTGTTAATAGGGTGTGAAAACGCGGGCGCCGTCAACAAACGCACAATGTAGAAAAAAAATGGTAAAGACGAATTCAGACGATCCGGCGCCGATTTTTGAGTTTGAATTTTTACGTTTAGTTTCGTCGGCGGTTGTAATAAAGCCGTTTACGGAATACGCTTGCACGAATAAAATATTTTAAATAATAATAATACAATATATAAACGCATTTAAGAGTTTTGCACAATGTCGCCATAATGTCATACCAGCACTGCAGCAGCACTATATGTATATACAAAGTTATAAATCTATACTAACATATGTGATCAATACAATATATTATAATTTACAAACGTGTTGGGGACCTACTTACATCAGAATATCGGTACAAAAACTGATTAGTTATACAGCTATATAAGCACCAAAGTCGGCATTGCACACACGCGCGAACCTCGATGTCCGGATATATTGTCGACAGCGGTATCGCCGGACAAAACAACTATATATTATTATTATTATCATCAACATATTTTAATACAAAGCCGTTTTATTTTAAACTTTTAAGTTTTTACTAGAACGGCGTCTTTATACATTGGTTTGTAGTATTTTTCGCCGATACCGTGGCACGTGAATGAATTGACTGTTTATTTATGATAAGCGTTTGTCCGAAACTTAAACTTGGTGCTACCAAACGCGAAATATCATAGATCACACAGGCATACTATTAGCTATAATATTGTTGATGTTACAACGGAAGTATGCCGTTATATATTATATTAATAGTTATATAATGCGGTTCATGAGATACCAATGATTTTTTTAATGTAAATAAATCGCAATTTGCAGGTAGGTTATAATTGTATAAATTATAATTTATTATTAATTTAGCGGTTCTCCGATGTGATCGCCAAACGAAAAAAAATCATAACATTGTTAAACGATTTGAGTTAGGGTTTTACAAATACTGTTGACTTTTATCGTTCTCAAACTGGATTTAATAAAGAACATATTATCTTATAGGTAAATATTGGTTTCATCGATGCCTAACCTTTTAATTTATAAAAAATCTTGACATTGATTATTAAATCCCAAACGTCGAACACATCCATTTTATAATATATATATGGATTACATGGACCAACCCTTTTACTCCCATCCAGGTACTTAAAAGAACAATGACCCGTCTCTGATGACATAGCGGGTTTTGTTAATGAAATCGTTTTTTCGTATATCAGGAGAATTAATGCAAATTTTCAACCCTATAGTAAAAAATCTAAAACCCTGCTTAGAATCTGATAATTGGAAAGACTGCATTTTAAGTATTCGATATGGCGAACAGAAAAACCACATTATATTATTACTTTATAATATTTATTATATTAGTTATGTAAAAAAATACGTAACTTTATTATTATTATTATTATGTGTTGCTTATTTTATTTACGATGTTCCAGAAATGTTTTCTATTATTACATATTTAAAAATATATTACGAATTCCAAAATAAAAGTAGTATTACATGTAATATACAAAGTAATAGATTCTGTAAATTCCAATAGGTGTACCGACATATAAAATATGAATTTCTTATACAAGTCATGTTGTAGATATTCGAATTTTTTTTCATTTTTTTTTATTTTTAAAAGAAGTTTTCTAAATAATTTACTTGGTTAAATAATGACTTCATAAGAATCTAAATAAAATCGATAAAATTATTTACTAAAAAATTATCTAAGACCAATAAGAATATTCAAGTATACATATTGAAAAGCTAATAATCAAAAATGCTACAAAACACACCAGAAATTTTTATCACGGAATTTCATTAAAACAAATATAAAATATTAAGAGTTTAAATAAAAACCTCAAATACAATTAATTAGTATTAATGTGCGTTATTAAACTAGTATTAATTTATACATGTTAAGTTAAATTTTATTTGCAATTTTTTTTATTATCTCATCTTCATAATAACTTGCAAAATATTTTTTTGTTCTTAATTTCATATAAATAATATTTAACTTCTACTAACGTATTATCAAATAATTTAATGTTGTTCTTTATTTTACTAAAAACATTAATAACAAGAAATATTATTTCTGAAAGTTCAAGTACAAATACAATATTATGTATTATTGGGTACCTACATTTATGGTAGCGTCAGAACAAAAACTGGATATTTTTAATACTTTTTTTGATTAAATATTAATATTATTTTATATACATTATTATTAATATTGTTTTTTTATTTTATTTTATTTTTTTTTGGACTCAATTTTAAACAGGGAATATTATGTTACAGCAGAATTTTATAATGAGCCAAATTGTTATTGTTATTATTCATAAATACTGACTACACTCTCACTCAGTTAAACATCCAAATACTTGCCAATGGGCTCTAATAACATAATATTTTAATAAATAGTAAGTTAAAAATGCCAATATGTAAATAGTATGTGGTATATTCATTAACACTTAACGCCATCTATTGCAAGCCTAACATGGTAACAAATTATAATGATTATGGCTGTAAACAATTAAATTGTCTAATTAATCTATAATTTCACATATTATCTTAAACTTTTGTCTTATTATTTTTGAAGTACAAGAAAAAACTCTGGGTGTTCTTAAAAATACTAACAAAAATCAAGCGGCCTTCTTCGGACCGAAATATAACTAAATCAAGAAGAAAAAAAAATATGTACGATATATTTGAATGACTTAGCACCGAAAACAAAATAAATACAGATATACCTACACATATGACTAGAGTATATTAAGCAAAATTGCCTTTTTGATTGATTTTTTTAATTTTTACGATATTTTGGAACTGATTAATTTGTGTGTATGCTGCATACTCATTGGACCAAGAATAGCAATGTTGTCTATTGACTTATACATTAAAGTATAAATATATTTACTGAGAAGAAACATGTTTTTTATAATTTGATAATTGAATTAAGTCCAACAATGATTGGAATAATCATTAGCATCTACAGATATATAAAATTAAGTGAATGGCTCAATGAACTAAGTTTAAAGCCTACGAGAAATGTTAATTAATTATTAGTGATTTATTTATTGTAAAATTCTTACAAATACAAATTTTGATGTTCATGCACTGCACATTATAAATTCAAGAAAAAACAATTACATCGATGTTATATACATAATCAACAGCCTGGGAATATTCAACCGAATAGATTGAGCGTTGAATATAAAAAAATAGATTCGGCAATTCGGCAATTATGTTTAAAAAAATGTTCGTGAAAGAATTTAATTTGAGCACTAATATTATTAAATTTCACTCAACAGTCAACAATTAATAATCAATCTTATTCCAATATTCGTAAATTTAAATACACACAGAACCAATTTTTGATGAAATATCTATGTATCTTTTAATTTTAATAAAGTTAATTAAATTACATTTTAGTTTTTTATTTTTAAATTAAGGTTAGTTATAAAATGCTTATCTATTGACTAGAATCTTGTAAAAACACTGCTAGGTATGCAAAACAAATTATATCTAAGAAATGTATAAGTATTATTTACTATACGCAAGGATGTATCAAACATTATTTTATATTTTATCAACGACATTTTTGCTTGAATCTTACAATTTGATAACATGTTTCTTAAATATATAAATAATAAATTAATATCCTACAGCATGGATGTTATTAATAAAGAATATATTATTGAAGCTCTGAAAAAATTCTTTAAGCCTTAATGAATATTTGAATAGCTGCCTATTTATTTTCATATGTAGATATTAATAAACATAAAAAGTTAATTTTTTTTTAAACCTAACCAACAGTTTCATAATTTTTAATCAACATATGTGCTTAATTTTTTTAATTATTTATTAATATACTTATACCTATTACATTTCTATTATTATAACTAGATAATTTGATTGATAAGGTGTCATATACACAAAATACTAAACTAGAACTGTTTAATTAATGATACACGAATAATTATAGATTATATCAAATAGAGATGGTTTTTTTAAAGGAATTAGAAACTCTTCAAGAAATATTGAGTACATTATATCATGATTAATATTAATATTATGGTTTATATCTTCAATGTTTTAACGTAATTTTCATAACTTGTATACTGATAACTAATTTCAGTCTCTTTCTCATTATATTATTTATATTTAAGTCTTTTCTTATTCCATACGTTTTTATTATAGCTGATAAAATAAAAAACTTATGAACTTTTATTTTTGTTATCCGTGTACATCATAATATTTTCACTATCAAACACCGTGCTGGAATGTTAAATTATGAAGGAACAATCAATCAGACCAATAATTCGGTCAAAAAATATAGTTACAGCTGGCGTAATCAGGTACTGATGTTTTAAATTATAACTACACGGAAGATGATACAAAAAAGACCTTAAATTGATTAAATAAAGTAAAGAAGCAGAAATCAAACTCAAATTTTATTTTGAAAAAACCTGGTGGACTTTGGAGATAATTATAACAATCTTAGAAACATTTTTCAAAAGTGATTCACTGATTCATGAGTGTATTGGTAATTTTTTTAATTATCTGTAACTTATAAATAATTTAGTTTGAATATTGTAACATTGTAATTGATAGGACTATAACATTTAGAACTCTAACATGATAGTAAAAGAATCAATGACTTTTAAGATTAAAATTATTTCTTATCATTTTAACAGTAGATAATCTGTAAGTTTTGTTAGTAGTTGAAGAAGAATTTAAACATTCCAGGATGAGTATTAAATAAATATAGCATTAAAAATATCCAGTTTTTAGTGATGGAATTTTATTTTCGAATTAAACTTGCCTTCATACCCTGTGATTTTAAATTAAATTATTAACTTTTATTAAATAATCTCCAAGAAGTCCACCTGTTATAACATTCTGTACTACAGTCAGTACTAGTTTGATTTACATGTTATTGTTTTTAAACAGTGTTGAATACTGTTCATCGAGATCAATAATCACACTGGTTTGTGTGCAAGTAAAAACAAATCAAATAATTTGGTTATGTACTTGGACAACTGTGTACAAGTAACAAAAAAAACAAATAAATATGTTCTTAATATTACGTAGGTACGTTATAGAAATTGACTCGATTCTTTCAGAATTATTAATAAATGCAAAATGAACAAGTTTTCTATGAATAATAGTTCTTGCAATAGTTTCTTAATCATTACATTTTCATATTCTCAACTGTTGGTAACAACTTTCACTCAAAAAATATTAAACAATAAATAAATTGAAAAAATATGAAATTGTATCAGAAGTTGTCTTTTATTGAGGGTAAGGGGGGAAGATAAGATTATTTTTTATTAAGTACATAAAATGTATTGTTTTTTCTTGTACCTAATGGCATTTCAAGAGTGAGTAAAAAAGTAAAAATATTACATTGACTTACATATAGCTTTTCATGGACATTTTATGTAAATTGGTAAATATGATATTTACCTAAATATATAGTAAATACAAATGAATTTATATTTAATATAAACACACTTACATTGGTATGTACACACATAATACACGCACACATATAAATGGAATAATAGCAACAAAAGAAAAAAGAAAATATTATAAATTATTTACGAATTTAAATTTAAAATATAAAATATTAGGAATATCTTAGACTAGCAACGTTAAATAGAACAGAACACTATCAGTCAATATGCTTGCGCAATTATTATTTAAATCTGTTCCAAAAGTAAAGTAAAGGAAAAATGGGAAATTGTTTATATAAGATGGGTACCAATAATAATTATATTGCACAAACATTAACAAAATGTTTTAGGAAATATTAACATTTAAAAAAAAAAAATTATAATTTGTATATTATTTATAATATGCCTTGAAAAGTGTTTATTTTGATAACGTTATTATGGTGCACGCGATTTAATTTAAATGTATCTAATTAAAAATATAATTAATAAATAAACATAATTTACCTTCTTCAGACATGATAAATATCAGCGAATTTGAAATTCAGTTAAAGATGTATTAGAAGGGAGAATGAATTATGTAAACATTTGAAAATATTCGAAGAAGATTGATGAAATTATTAACAGTCAGTTAATGAATCAGCAAGAGACATTAACAAACTGGATGCATCTCCTTTGCCTAAAAATTATAACATGTAAATTATTATAATATTGTGTATTAATTTTTTTATACATAATGGCTTTTTTTACACTTAACCATTGGTACACTTACATATTATTTTTATTCATTTTAAATTTTGTTTCGAAATAAATATTCTAAATTGCTAATATCATTTTTACCTTTATTGGTTTTGAATGATACTTGAAGTACACGGTTGCCTAACGTATATCCATTAAGAGATTGAATGGCAACAACTGCTTCATCATAATTGGTCATAGTGACAAATCCGAATCCCTTGCATTTGTTCGTTTGCAAATCTCTAATAACTTTAACACTCTGTACAGCACCAAATGGACCAAATAGTTGCCACAATACATTTTCTTCTGTTTCTGGAGCCAAGTTATACACGAATATGCACCAGCCAGATCCATTCATTGAATTACCAGGTAACATGGAGTTTGCTAACAGATCACCCGCTAATGGAGAGTATCTAAAATTAAATCATTACATTTAATTAAATATTCAAGATATTTCATATTTTAAATGAAAACTATTAAACTCAATTAAACTAATATGATGAAAAGAATATTTTTATAGAGTGGTTAAATGGTAACGAACACAGAAACTCTATTTGTGTTTAAAGCTTGAAGTATAATTCATTTTTTAAATTATTGTTGGTGATTGATATACTTTAGTCTTTAATTTTATTAAATTAATGATAACTTAATTTAATGAACTTTATATTTTATTCCAGAGCTTAATATAATTAAGTCAACTTAAATTCTGTAAAAAATTTAAATCCTAACAAAGTTTAAAGTGTCAGTGTACAGTTAATATAATTTTTAATGTTTCATTTGTTATTTTTTATGGAAAAAAAGTCTCACCTAATTAAGCGATTACAAAATTAAAGTATTTATTTATTTATATTAATAAAATCTATGTAACATAAACCTATTTTAAATAACTAATAGGTAATACATTTTGAAATTATGTTAATTGGGTTGAAAAAAGTGAGTTTGATACATAATATTCAACAATATTAATTTTTGAAGCTAATTTTAAGTTATAAACAGAACATGCTAAATGAAAAAAATGAACTTTATTATATTTAAGGTAACTTAGAAGATTCTTAAATGAATGCTTAATAGATAATATGTGTTAAAATTTCAAAAAAAATGTTATTTTTTATGTATATCATGAATGTCAAAAATGAACTCTATTAAAGGTATACAGCGCCACAATTAGCGAGGGTGCTGTAGGTATAAAGTATCCCTCCTCCCCCAAGAGCCCTATTATTATATTTAGGGAGTTCTTTTCAGATGTAAGGTTTCAAATGGGGGGCACCAAAATTAAATTCACATCTGGGCGCTTTGATATCTAGTTGCAGCACTGTAGATATACCAAAATTTAAAATTAATTATTACGTTACATAATATTTTTAAGTAAATATATTACAGTAAAACTTCTGTTAACGGTCACCTCTATGTAACAGTGATTTGTGATCAGTTATTATTTCATGTTGTTTTGGTGACCATTATAAGGAAATTTACTGTGTGATATTTTTTTGTTATTTTAGGAAAACCTATACTTGTTTATACTTAAACAGGTCTCTCTAGGCTTACATCAAGTTGTATATTAGATTTTATTCTAAGAAGTTAAATTATGTTAACTATTATTGTTTAATTTAAACACATTTTAGGCCTTAGACCTAGATTAAAAAATTGTTATTAAAAGTACAAGTAATTTTTTACTACATGGTTACTTATAAATTCATTATGATTTAAATTAACTCTACATGGAAAATCTGTTATGATATTTAAATTATTTAAATACATACAGAAGAAAAACAAGGGTAGCCATTCAGCTGTATATCAGATTTTAAGTGACCTTGGATATTGAACAGGTCACTAAAATAAATGTTCAATTTAAATTTAAATTTAATGAAAGCACATGAAAACCAATTCTGAGCAGAGATGGTGTATAGCCTTTATTTTAAGGATATATTGTAATTCATTTAAATTAGTGGTTAACATTACAAAATACTAAATAATTGTATTAACAAAAATATCGTTGTATTTTCAATACAATTTGGTATTCTAGTATACAATTTTCAAATTTTTGGACAGTGCCTAATCTATTGAAATTTACAGCCAAAAAACCAATTTGTAATGCCTATAATTACCTTAAATTAGTCTTAATGTTTTAAACATTTCACGGTGTATAAAAATAATAATTTAAATGATAGAAAACTGTTTCAAGTTTCAAAGATTAGTATTTCTTGAATAATAAATTTAATTGATGCTAAGATGAAATATTTTTAATTTTTTACAAAATAATTTTCAAATGTTAGTGGTTTTGGCAGATGCTGTCAAAATTCAAACATCAATCGCTTATAACAATAAATTTTGATTTACACTCAATATTTTCTTTCACTCTAATATAAGATCAACTTATGAGGAACTTTGCATTACATTTTCAAGCTTTTTGATTGTGCATCACATTTTTTATTAAAATTAAAAATAATTCAACAAAACAATAATATTTTTAAAGTTATACCATGTCTAGAAAATGATAATATAATATTTATATTAATATAATTGTAGAACATATTATAAATATTTATGTTATTTATGTATAATTTGTTTTCGAATTACCGACAACAAAATCAGAAATTAAATTTAAATGTTACTGTTAAAATTACCGTTACTTCTGTTTTTCTGTATTTATTTTTTATTTTTCTTGATTATTTATGACAGATAGGGAATCTTAAAAGTAAAACTATATCCAATTGTATAACAAAAACCACCAATGAAGTTAAAAAATGAAGCATTTTAACTGCTCTAGAAGACGATAAAGGGATCATTGTGATGAAAAAACACATTGTAAAACCAATTAACGCCTCAGGATCTAACAAATTGTTTTCATTTTAAAATATCACAATCTATTCATCAAAAGGCAATTTATTTAAAAATATTCACCAATATGCTTGAAGTAAATAATTCAGTACTGAGCTACTTTTTATACTACTTTCTAATGTATGACGATGTTAATAATTGATTTTTAATGCATAGACCTAGATTTACATGTACCTACAATTATCTTTATTTTATATTTAGAAGTCTTATTTAAGAAACTATACTGACCTCTGTAAGCCTTTGTTTATGGCTAGCATGGTCTTTCCAGTGCTAAAACAAAATAAAAATAAAAATAATAAATATATATTTATAAAACAATAAATTCTATATAAAATAAATTGTACAATGAGCGGCAGCTTTAATAAATATTAAGTTACAAGTAAAAATAAATTGTAAATGGTTATCTAAAGAGTTATTTGATGCAACAAAAAAAAAGGGTAGACACAAATCTTCTTGATAGCATATTGTTAAGATTTTATTCATCCATGGAAAATAATCAAAATATATTCATAAAAATCGATCAATGAACTATTATACTTGAATAAATAACCCTATTTATGTAATTTAATAAATATTTAACATTATTATCATTGATGAGAAATAATTACTATACATGAAGCCAAAAATATATTCACAAAAGTTCATTTATATATATTTTTTGAATAAATTAACCAAACTGTTTATTTCATACGTTGGACACATAAAATAATAATAATGGATACTAGGTACACATTATTTATTCAAATATAAATAAATAGCAACTTAAAAAAAAATAAATCTATTTTGAGGTAAATTATAAATTTAATTTTTTTTACAAGCCAATAATTACATGCACATCAATGAACAATACTGTATACCCCCTCTTTTTGGACATGAAACATAAGCGTTGTTTCACTATGTTCTATGTGCACAACGAAAGTAAGTAAATTGTGTCTCTATTTAAATAATTTCTGCCTACCAGCAATTTTGTGTGCTCACCAGCACTTAATACAAATAATTGGAAATATATTACCTATGCCATCTCGTGATACATCAATCCATTGGTTATTAAATACACTTTGCTACAGATCCAGGTATGGTATGAACAATTTCTCCTCTCCATTGATTGAGTTATTGAGTTTTAATTTATTATGAATATTATTTTTTTTAAATCATTAACAAAAAATGTCAATTATGAATTAAAGTATAATTTTGACCATCAGCCGCAAAGGAATTTTAGGAGTAAGAGTTAGTTATTTTATTATAAATACAATTAATGATTTTTAGAAAAAATAATTTAATTTATGCTAAAAAAATGATAAATTTAATAGAATATAGTTTTAATCCCACTTCATAAATATCAAAATGATACACATCATGTCAATGCTAAATAGGTTAATTTGAGAGGAAATACTTATTTAATTATCATACAACTGGAACTGAATCCTCCTAGCCCTAATATTTTGCTGTAATGTTCTTTAAGGTTGTAGACTCAAAATAATTAAATATTAAAGTGCATACACACATAACAATATTAAAACTAATATAATAATATAAATTAAATACCAGCAGAATAACAGTATTTAATTCAAACATTTATCATGTAATACAATGTATGTACATGTTAAAGTTGAATCTGAAGTAAATATTATACTAATATGTATTAACTACATAGTAGCAGTGAATTAATGAATTGTAATTCAAAATAAATTAATTTGGTAGTTAATATTGCGTTAAATAATGAAAATCTAAATTGATTTAATTTTGGTAATGATTATATGTATTAACTTAAACTATACTTAAGTATGTTTAGTTTAATATTTCTTGTTAGAGAAACAAGAATGTTTTAAAAATATTTAATGTTATAAACTTAAAGAACATCACAACAACATAACTTATCAACCCTTAAGTTACTAAAAATGTATTTTATTATATGTACATTAATATATTGGTAAATATAGAATAGCATGATGTGCAATCAAATAAAGTAAAATTATAAAACAACACTATTTATAAGCTGCCACACTTTGTAAAAATAAAAAAATAAAAACAAAACAAAAGACAAAATAAAAGTATATACTAAAACTTTAATAATATTAAAGAATAATAAATTTAAAAAATACTGTAATCACTAATTAATAAAAATTTAAATAATCAGGAAAATGTTGGTTGTTTAATAATATAATTACGTAGATAATATGAAGTTAATACAATTGAAGGGTGAACGATTTATACATGAAATTAAAATGTAAAATTTATTATAAAATATGAACATAATTTTACTTTTGTTTAATAAGCAGTTAAAAGACATGTCATAATATAATGAATTAACTTATAATTAGAGCCCAGAGGTTCAGTATACAGTCACAGTTAGCAGTTTAAAATAAAACGTTAGTATTTCAGGCATGAGTTAAAATTATATATTATATTGTAAGAAAAATTTTGTGTAATGTTAAAACATACCAATGTTTCATTATATAATCTAAAATTTAGATATGATATAATCTAATAAAATACTTTTTATATTTATCAAAATGATCAAATAAATGTGTAAAATATATCTTGATATTAGAAAACAAAGGCGTAATATCATTTAAACTGATTAACCTATTAAAATTATTATTTTTGTTTTGCGTAAAGGCGAAAAAGATTATTTTTATTATAACTAAACGTCAAAAATTAAGTGAAAAAAAATTAATGAATATTAGAAGAATATTTTAAAACAAAGAATCAGAATTCATCAGAAAATGAATAGAACCTTAGATACCTCGTGATTTCGTGAAGCTTTATGTATTATGTCTTTATAACTTAGATAAACACTAAATTGGTTTATTATATTATTATATATATTTATTAGTTAAATGTATGATGTTAAGTTCAATAAAAACCTTAATAAGTTATAAATTTAATTTTTACAACATTGAAATAATATTAATAAGAATTTATATAAAAAAGTATGTAATTGTAACAGATTTTTAATTTATTATTTAAGTATTAATCAAATACTAATATACCCGCATTTTATTTAAAATGCCAAAATTAAAATGATAAAATATGATAACTTTTTTTTTATGTTTAAAGATATTAATATGATTATTAATGTAAATTATAAATTTTAACTATAATATAAAAAAAATGAGAACTAGAATTTGAGTACGGTTTTTTGGCATGTGCCTATGAAAGTATTATAAATAAATATAATAAATAAAAAGTATTTAAAATATATTACTCACTACAATCTGAAATATTTTAAGTGAACGAACAGCACTCGAGAGACCATCAAAAGAAAATTTCCATTTAAATAATGTATAATTAACCAATTTATGATGTGCTTATTAAAAAAATTTAAAAAATACTTCCCTTCAAAATCTAAAGTTTAGATCCTTAACGTTATTCTGTTTAAATGAACATTAAACATATCATTTTAGGAAAAATATATTTTATAAATAAGGTATTGTTAATTAATTCGCCCCTAGTCAATAAATACAAAAATCTAATTTTTTAATTGATAGATTGTATATTATATTATGTCATTAACAATTTTTTTTTTTTTTGATCTAACATTTATATATCTGGTATATTATTGTTGTAAATGTATATTTAACGTAATATATTTTTCATTTTTGTCTAACCAAATTATTATTTAAATTTCTTTAATAGTAATTTTATTGAAAAAATGGTACATTTAAAATTAATTGTTAATGAATCGATTCTAATAATATCACTGTAAAACAAATGAAGAGAAGAAATGGTCATACCTGGATAAAGGGGAGAGTGGAATATACCTGAAGCGCCCAGTAGGGTGATGAATAGGGCCAGCAGCAAACCTTCGAGCTCCTTGAGGAGTTAAATAAGCTGCTAATGCAGGTACTGCTTTATTGCTACTAGGATTATTGGCGAACTTCACAGTAATTGATTCTGTTGAACCTTTGGGAACAGTTCCATTTAATTCTTGAATTGCTCGTTCGGCTTCAATTCTTTGATCAAATCTTATAAAACCAACACCTTTTGAAATTGCTAAAAAGAAATTGTAGTAAATAAAATGTATAACACATTTGACCACTTATACATTAAGTCGTCAGTAATCATACAAAATATATATAACATATTACACAGTTTATTATTAGTTATGTCAAATGAAATTTAAAATAATTTTATTAGTATCAATAAATTATTTAGAATTGTAATTATTTTTTTTTTTTGCATATAACTTATTTTAATGATAGTGTATATTATGTACCTATATTAAATAAATAAAAAATACTCTAGTAACGTAAAAACATTTTATTCTGATTATTAACTAGAATTAGATCTACTGTGACTATTTTGTTTTAGTTATTTTTAGCTTGCTATCTAAAATAATTTACATTGATTTTTTAACAAATATTTGTGAAGCAATGAGTTCATATTTTGCTTAAAAATAATAATAATAAATACAAATTGAAAATTTTTTTTATTAAATTCTAACTTTGAATATACAATGATAACATCGAAAATATAGTTATATTTATTCCAGATTAACTTAAAAATTAATATTTATGAGTACAGTATAAATGATGTTTGATTAGTTAAAACTAGAAAATTATTTAAGAATAAGTATATATCACAATTCAACTATTATTCTTTTATTAAAATCAATAACTTACACGGCGAATGATCTCCTCCAGTATTTCCCACAAATTGTCGTACTGTGAACATATCAGTAATATTTCTTCCATTAGAATATTTCAAGGCAAACAATAAAATAATGAAAATATGAAACTAAACTCACCAGTCATATTATCACATAAAATTCTTGATGTTATTATACGACCATAAGGACTAAATAAATTTTCAAGGTCTTGTTGAGTCATATGTTTTGGAAGACCACTGACATATAAATTAGCCCCTTTAATTGCTTCACTACTAGGTCTTGCAAATGATACCTTAAAATGTTTTTTATCACAATTAGGTAATTACTCATTAACTAATATTGTGTATACATGAAAAAACTGAATGTACCTTAATTGTTTTATTTTGTAATCTTAGTCCATTTAAAGTATTAATTGCTTTTTCTGCATCTTCTGGTCGATGGTAATTAACAAAACCATAACCCAAACTTTGACCTACAAAAATAAAAATAATTGAACAATTAAAGCATGCACATTATTCAATGAATTATTTATAAATAAATAGTCAAACAATCAAATACCAAATAAACTTATTGAGTAATTAATTATATATGTATGTACCTATATGTATGTATGTTAATATTCAAATTAATATCTATAATCAGTATTATATATGCAAGTATAAAATAAAGTGTTAACAAAAAAAAATTGTCAAATATATTATTAAGGTTTTATTGTTGTATAAATGCATAGTCTCCTCATTGATTTTTATTCTGATAGGTATAAATAACTTCCAACAAACAATTATAAATACATTAAAATTGATTATAAATTTAATAATTAGAACACTTTAACATACAAATGTCAAATTTTAAAAATTAAAACAAAAAAGGTCAACATTTTTCAAAACTATAATATTTAATACTAAATTTAATTTATTTATATAAAAACAGTTTTCTCTAATTTTACTTAACAGAAGTTTTTTTTTAAACTTCTGACAAATTTCAAAATGTCCTCTCTAAAGTACCATCTGTATTAAATTTCTAATCTATAGAGAGGCTATATGAAACTTATTTGTACTCGTTAATTCTAACTCTCACCACCACCAAACAAATACAAATAAAAATGGAAAAAATAATAATTAAATGTATAGATTTGCTAAAAAAATACAAGATTGTATAAAACAAAATCTTGCTCAGAATATTGAGTCAAATAAATTAGAAAAAATATTTGACAGTGACTTATATTTGGAAAATATACAAAATATTTAAATAAATAATATTTCTTAATTTATAATTCTGAACCCAAATACTTTACAGTATTACTATACTATACAGTTAAGTCTATACTTTGATTGAGAACTATGAAGATATTTTTATTACAAGCTAGTGTGGGAATAAGTACAAATAAATAATACATTTTAAAATAAAACAAAATTATACATCCTAGTTTTTAATTAAAAATTGCCATATTAAGAACTAACAAGGCTTTAAATTACAGTACCTGATGGAAGAGATCCTGTTGTGAAAAAGCATGAAAAATAAAAATAAAAATAAAAACATATGTTATGAGTACCTATATTTGTAAAATGCCATTATATAAAAAAAAATGTTTCTATAAATTAAATATTTTTAAATGTTACCTATTTAAAATAAAAATAAAAATTATAAAATCATAAACATAAATTATGTATGTAATCACTAGGGCAGAGGACTTGTGGCTCTAAAAAAATCACCAAATATGCACTAAAATGTACAAAATATGCATTTTAAAATTATTATGCATATTATTATAGCATTTAAAAATATATGATTAACTGTATGAATATATTTTATTTAAATTTTGATGTCTGCGACCCACGTCCCGTATGGCCGTATTCATAATACCTTATGCAGTGAACAATATTTGTACATATATAAAATTAATAACCAGAAAATAAATCTAATTGCCAATCCTCGAGAAGTATTTCTAGGAAAAACATGAGTGTGGAAACAGTCAACAACCATATTAATATGATCAAAATTTAAAATAATTTTAAATTCAACATTATTTTGGTTGTATATTAAATATTTTAATTAAATAAAAATTTTTAAAATATATAAAATATGCATCTTAACGTATAGAATCGAAGAAATATGCACTAAAACAAAAAAAAACTCGAAATATGCATTTATATGCAAAATAAAATTTCAAAACTAGCTTTGTTTCAGCATGAAATTCTTACTCTGCTATTTTTGTGATCGTACAAAACAAATATGCAAATGCTACAAGTCCTCTGCCCTAGTAATCACTAACCATATACCACTCGTAAACAATAAATTATTTTGTTTATTTAGTCTTAGTACATACTATTTCATCTTAGTTAAAAGTTGAAAAATTATTTAAACTATTAAGTGAATACCAAAATATGAAATATAAATAATAATAATCATTTTCATAATAAATTCAATGGTCAAAATTAAATTTAAAAAATCCTTCTGATATTTGTTGTTAGAAATTTATATTTTATAATTAATCAGACTAGTTAAAATATTATAGTAGAGGGTAATTTACATTATAAAAACTAAACTAATAGTTATGTATCATTTTAACCAAGAAATGTAATATCCATGTTCTGATTTGATTATGTTTAAAATATGTATAAACTTTTTAAATAAAATTATTTTAACTAGGGTGCATTCATTGAGAATAGAAATAATTCACAAATAGGTACATCCTTTAAACTTACTATAACTTAGTTGTTCTGCAAAATTTCTTAAAAAAAAAAAAATTCTAAAGTAAAATGAACCTTTTATTTTATTTTATGAACATTTTATCTATTTCAGTCAAAATTTTTTTATACATCCCAATATTATGAAAGTTTAATTAAACAAACCTCATGAAAAAATTATAGGTGCAAAAAATGTACAAATTAAATTTGTCTCCATCAGGTACTATATGATAAAAAAATGCTTAAGGAACATTGTTTTAAGGATTGATTTTATATCTCACAAAAAAGTATGAACAAAAGTGTATGATCCCCATCTTATTCTAACAGTTTTTAATAATAATTAAATAACAGGTTTGAGGGAGGATCGAGGGGAGGATATACCAAAAATCTAGCTTTTCAAAATAAATAATTAATTTAATCTATACCTATAATAATTGGGTATAATTTCTGTAACAATTATAGGCATTGTTACAATAACAATATCAACTGGAGATGCCTACCTATTAATTAAAGTGACATTTTATAATATTCAAAGAATAAATATACCTACTAATTATTAATATCAAGATTATTAATTTTGAAAATAAAATTTTATGTTAGGTATATTTAGAACATTGACATACAACACATTTGTTAAAATTAACTGTGTTAAACTAACTGTGTGTTTTGGTAGAATGTATATTCAATTTAATAGGAATAATACTTTAACATCACATTACATAGGTACATACATATAAGCATACATCATATTTCTTTTTAATATTTTTTATTAAATAGGCATTGGCTGACATTGTGTTAAGTTTAGTAAATCTTTACAGAACTTTTTTAAACATCTTTTTTATGAATTTAAAATGTATACAAATTATTTTTTTTTACATTTGATACCTATAGAGCTGGATATTATTGAGATTATTATTAGGTACCTACCATTTAATTTTTAAAAAACTGTATCCCTGTATACCTAAGTGGAATAGGTATTCTTAAAAACTTGTCTGTAATAGATTAACTTTTTTTATGAGTAAATTCTACATTCTACCTACAATTTTACAATTATTAAAACAATGCATTACATTTTTATATGTAGTAATGTATACAGGATTTTTAGTTTTATTAGGGTTTTGCCTAAGACTAATCACAGATCCATGGGAGAAGGGGCTTCATCCCCATTTACATTATATTTTGCAATACAGTTATTATATAATTGGTTAAAACAAAATAAATAATAGAGTTGGGTCTCAAATTTAGTCTATATTTAGAGTATTTTTATCTAGTAACCTTTAAAGCTTCTTCAGGCCGTAATAAACATGGTAATACACAATAATACATGATACAACAATTATAGCCAACACAAAAATTGAAACTATGATTCTTGATGTTATTGCCGATTTACAATTTATTTTAAATCTATTGAAAATAACTGATGATTAATCTATTTTGTGTATTGATTATGGTGATAAATAAGATTTTTTTGTAGAAGAAAAAAATTTCAAGAACTCTTAGATAGAACTGTAGAAGCCTACCCCTGCGAACGCCACTGTTTATATCTGTTTATCATATTTTATAAATACACTGTGTCCATAAATTCCACAACATCCTAAAAAAATATTAAGTACCTAAATCACAAAATTGATTTTTTTTAATATTACCGTTTTTAAAATTAATAAAAATTATTAAGGTTCAACTGTTCTTACAGTAAATTCTACATTTCACAAAACCATCAACTAATAAATTATAATGAATGTTTTGAGTACCTTTACCTTTAAACTTTTAGAATAAGTAAGTTCTTAGTTGTTAATATTTCGGATGTAATTCTAATCAAGCACGAGAAGTTTTTATTAATAAGTAAAATATGCATATAGATGGGTACTACCCAAGAATTTATTTAATAATAAAATTAAGACCATCTACTTTACCTTTATTTAATATCCTATTAATAAATATTAAAACTATTTAATTTATATAATTATTTTCTACACTTAGGTAAAGCATTTTATTTATACTGCACTAACTAAATTATCTTTTAGGTATGAATCAGTAGTAGGTAATCATAATAGCTATAAATATTTCACACTACTAAAAATTATTATTTAAAAAAATAAAAACATGAATATATAAAAGCTTACCTGTGACTTTATCTCTAATAAGTTTACAGCTTTCAACTTCACCAATTGAAGAAAATAGTGATCTAATTTCTTCTTGAGTCATTGTCTGAGGTAAGTAATTTACGATAAGGTTGGTTTTACTTTCTTCATTCAAAGAATTTCCTTGTGATGCATGAGAATTTGTACTTGAGGTATGTATTGAACCATTATGTGGTAGTGAATCCATTCCGTTTTGCATCATATTGATAATTATAATTCTTTTTAGATTTTTTGACTAGTTTTTTTTTCTTGTTTTCAGTAAACAAATAAAATAAATGAAAACGAAAACAATAAATTCTGAAATTCAAAATCAAAATAGAAAATTAGTTCTCCTATACTAACTAACATCATATTTATTATTGATCATTAAATTTAAATGTAAATTACAAAGTAGGAAGAAATCTTTTGAAAATAAATGAAAAGTACACATAGCAGTTCTAAGAAATCTGCTACAGATTCCACTAAATAAACCCTTTATTGCTGGACGTCCAGCTTGTATAGGGACTATGATGAATGAGCAACAATCTTAAAGCAACAACAGAACATTGTGAATGAAAGATTCATATACTTAAAAAATAAACTGTACAAAATTACTTATAATACCCAATTAATCACTTAATAAAGTTTTTAAAAGATCTAATCTGGCAAATTAATAGTAGTATTAATTTGATTTTGAGCTCTGCCATACCAATTAAATGTTATTGTTATTCGTAAATATGTAGGTAATAGGTAAGTATAAATGTAAAATCAAATCAAGGATTTAGTTCTTACCAGAGTTCCTACAGGAATGTTAATCATAATCAAATAGGTAACATATCTAGTTTAAGTATAATAGAATATTTAATAGTTACCTAGTACCTACCTACATAATATTATAAAAAATAAATTATCAAGAACATTTTAAATTTACCGATAACCTATAAGCATTAAGTAGTTAATAAATAACCAGGATAATAGGTAGGTACGCATTCATTTTTTTTTACATTTATATCATAAAATGTATAGGTACCTAGATAAATATCCCTAGGTTCCTGGTAGGTACCTACCTTGGATAATAAATATTTAATTATTATGAGTTGTGTTTCTGTAATAAATCGTTAAAAAATACTAGTAACAACATACTTTGTTAAACCTACTTACTTGCATTCCTCATTCAGATAGAATAAAAAATAAATAAAAAATAAATGTAATCATTAATGTTCCTATCCTAGAAAATATTTTTTCAGAAAAACCTGGAGTGCTCACTGGTTGTCATCAAAAATAAAATTTTGTACAAGATGCTTATAAAGAAACACACAATATGTTTTGTTAAATATGTGATAAATCGTGGGATAGGTAGGTATGGCCGAATGGTAGATCTCCCCGTGTAGTGAAGTTATTAGTTCGGAATTTCGCAGTTAGCTATCGACTGGTGGATGGGGGTGAGAAAAAAAGTCAATAGCAATCGTTGGTCTATACCTACCACGTAAAAGTATATTGTTAGGTACAGCCAAAACAGCTGACTGACTAAAATAATATTATGAATTATGATAGTTGACTGGCAACTTGCAGTCCGTTGAGAACCGCCCAAGCTCAGTGGCATTTTCCAAACGCACACGTACCGACACAGCGAACTACGCGGTCAACTGTCGGCGAACGCATTTTCGGTCGACGACAAAATGAAAAATAAAAATAAACTAAACGAAAAAAAAAACAGAAAGAAAAAGAGACAGTGACAGGGCAAGTAGAGCAAGACGTATGCGGGAGAGACAACGAAGACGTCCGGGCGTCCGAGAGCGAGCGAGCGAAGGAGAGACTGAGAGAGTGCGGGAAAAGTGAGATGCGTCTGACTCTTCCGACGTGTGCGGCGGCGGCGGCGGCTGCGTCGTCGTCTAATATAATAATATGGTGCTCAAGTGCGATGCGTTCGAACGTCGCTTAAACTTCAAATTAACCGTTAAAAGAACGGTAACTATAGTATTGAAATATAATAATAATAACTCTCCATGTAAACATGTAAGTACTATTATACTACATAAATGTTAACTTCACACGTTCGAGAATCGATGTCGTTAAAATGCGGTTAAATTTATGTAAATAATATACACATGATTATTATTATGATTATGGTTATGATGATTGTGATCGTGAATATTCGTGATTATATTATTATTATTATTATTATTATTATTATGCTAATAACATCGAAACGCAATGCACACCGCACACACACGAACCCGCGCACGCGCACCACGACACGCACGCGCAGACACGCAAACACAATATGCCCGGTGCCCCGATGCGTCAAACTGCGTACCTACTACCTACTACCTACGACGATAACAACTACAGACTTTCAGACTAGTAATAAATAAATAATATAATACTATAGTGTATTCTGTACTACTAATACAAAGTAATAATACAATACTATAGTACTTTTAATTTTATTGTATCTATTAAATATTTGTATAAACTCTAATTTTACTTTTTAGTGTATAACTGTTGAGTTTGTAGCTTGCACGAACTACAGTACGTGAAGAAAAAATAAATTCATTCATAATAATAATTATATAACTGATGAAAATGATAAAGGGGAACAACTGACTAAAGCTGCAGTGGCCGACAGCGCATGCGACGATCGGACGTCGTGGGGCCAAAAGCGCGTGCGCTCGTGCGAACTTCGAGATTCCGCCGCCACTCGCCAGAAAAAAGCTTACAAAATTCCTTTTGATGCTACTGCATATCGGCGGTGGTCTCGACGTCTCGTCACTCTCTCTCTCTCTCTCTCTAACCCCCTCCCTTCGGACCGATACCAACCGTCAGACCGAGCAGCTCGGGCGATCGACGGCCCGGCTGGCGGCTAGTGATGGCTACTGGCCACCTCCCCCTCACGAACGAATGCCCGAGCTCGAGGAAAGCCTTCCGTCATCACCATCATATTATATTGAATAAAATTATATTATTTTATTCTTCGTTCCTACACACCTCCGTCACCCGGAACAATAATATTGATTTTCAAAATACGCTATGTACCACCAATCGAATCACGCTCGTAATCTACACCTCAAATTCAGATCAGAGCACACCCTGCTGACTTTTCCATTAGTAAGACTTAAGGAGAGCGAAGTTATTAAAATTTTTTGGGATATTTGAATGCTGTTAAAGCTACAATATTCGTACTACACATTATGCACAACATTTACGATTATATTTATTTTTATTAGTGGGTACGAACCACGAGGTACCTATTTGTTTTTATAGTTTTTAATTTGTATATACTGACTAGTGATTTGTATTTATTTTTAACATCAACGTTTCCCGATAAGAATGTAAATTGAAGTGCGATTTGTTAGAATCTATTGTAAAAACTCTAAACGTCTTATAGTCTTGAGTTTAGTGTTTGCAATAAAAAAAACTGTATAGTAGGTACCTATAATTTTTTACTATCTTTGAAGACCACCGTTATAAACGTGACCTTTGTTTTAATATGTAACGATAAAACACTTCATCAGATTTTCATTGAGTAGACTTTATTTAATATATTACTGTTATTACTCAGCGACATATTTCTCGTCAACACTACAAATACCTATACATAGTTAAAAAATTAATGAAATCGATCTGCTATTTACAAAAAAACATATCCACTTTCATCAAAATGTGATCTACAAAAGATAATTTTAAAAAAAAAATGTGGCTGTATTTAAAATATTTCTGATTGCTTTAAGAAAAACTTATGAGAAGCCTAGTATTTATTCAATTTTCTCACCTTAGGTATTAAAATTAACAATTAATGAATTTTTAACAACAAAATAGTATTCAAATTTTCGTGATTTTAAAAAATGTTGTCACAATTTAAACTTTAAACGTTAACAAAAACAATTCTAACTATATATATGCCTTTTCAATACTATTTTTTCAACTGCAGTGAGAATTCAAATACGATTTTGTCAAAAACTGGTGTTGCATGTTAATTCTCATTAGTTGTTAATTATTCCGATTGTTTACAAAAATACTGTGAATTTTTGTTTTTCAAACAATAAAGTACCAACTAAATAAAATTTGCTAATAAAGCCACCCTCAATGTTGAAGATACAATATATAATATATTATGTAATATATAAAAAAAAACCACACTTAATTGTAAAACCAATTACCAATAATGACCCAAAATGTTCTAAAACAATTAATAGTAATTAGTATTACCCCTGAATAGCCACAGGAGTTCAAATTCATAAATAAAATTCTCTTAGTGTCATATACAGTGTTTATTATACAAATATTATGCAAATATTTTAGTTTGAAATAGCCAAATAGGTATCTAAGGAATCAAGAATGGGCTTATATCAGCAGTATCTACTACCTGTACTTAAATATATATAAATAAAAATTAATTATTCTATTGTTTTTAAATTTTTAATGGACATATTATAATATTTAACTGTTCATAATAAGTATACTATATGTACCTGCACATTTCCGTAGTGTTTAAAATTATTAATTATTATTATTATTATTATTATTATTAATATTAGCAACAAATTATAAACATTTTATAAAATATCTACCTATAGATAATGCCCGCCACAATAAAATATGTCATATAAAAACATTTTATCGAAGATTATGGGATTCTACATTACCTATCTATGCATAATATAAATTGTATATACCAAAATGGTTAGGTGTTGTGCGAGTCAAGATTCAAGAGGTTTCTGAGTGTTTGGTGTCTAGGAATCCTCGTGTTCAAGGCTGGGGAAAACATTGAACGAGTAATATTATATAATATTGTATAAGATAGATCAATATCATATGATACCAATACGCAAACATACTACACGATCATTTTTGGGAAACCGTATAATAATAAGACATTTTTGATTTTTATTAGTTTTTTTAAAATTTTTTTTCTCAGTCAAAAAATGAAAATTGAATACAATAAGGTTCTTCAAAATTTGTTGTAATAGCAATTCAAAAATATTGAAGTTACGTAGTGTACAATTTTTTATGAGCATTTAAAGTTCAAATGTTGACAAAATTCATCATAACCACGAATATTTGCAATTTTTTGTACTGTTAAAAATGTATAAAATGTTTGCGAAAAAATTGAAACTTTTCACACTACTCATAAGAAGTTTAAAAAAAGTATAAAAAATATATAATCAGTAATCACAGTTATTTTTATAGATATTTAAATTTTAAATTTGGACGAATTTAGATAGTATTTAAACAAAGAGTTACACTTTTAATTTATATTATTATATTATATACACACAAGTACACTGTGGCATTTTAAAATAAGATAAGTAAAATTAGTAAATAGTAATAATTAATACATTTTAATAAATACAAAAATACACTTAAATAAATAATACATTTTCAATAAAATATAATAACATTAAAACTGTTTATTTTTATTATGAAACATTTCACTAATAAATGTTAATCTATATTATCTGGTATCATGTTCTAGTTCTCCTAATAGTTTAAATATTTTTGTGTACATTGAATGGTCTACGTTCCGTAAATACAAATATAGATATCAGTTTTATGTAAAGGTACCTTAGAAGTAACTTAAGTATAAGAACTAAGAGATCAAAATTAAACTTGTCGGTTCTATGCATTCTTAACCAGTTGATTATCAAGTCATATTGACCACGTACTACAAAGTCGTTCAAGTTAAATTATAATGAGATTACCTATTTTAATTGTTTTCTCAGCTGATTCGTTGATAAATACAATCTACTGAAACAAGTTGATACCACTTTAGAATTACGATTATTTTCCGACTGGAACAACAATTTTCATTAAATATTCCAATATATGATTTAAAATAAATGATAAATTCTCTAACGTCAAAATGTTCTTTTAAATTAGGTACCTATGCAAGAAAAAAAAATTTTATCATTTAATTCTTTGGATTATAAATCATACACATTTCTCATTATCGCTTAAAAACCCTAACTCTGAACCCTAATAAAATATACAGTAATATCCTAAAAATCTTGCCTCTAGTTATAAGTGTGTATAACATGAACGAACAATACATACAGCTAAAACCTAAGCCACGGATATATAAAACCTGCTCGAGATTCCTGCCTATATACCCGCATACATGTGTACATTATCATAACAGCGTAAAATGCCTAATATACGCGTAATATGTACTAATAATATGTCTAGGCGAGTAGGTACTACGTATATGGTATATTATATGATATTGACAATGGGTATACAGTACGCTCTCTACAGAATCGCAGAGAAAATAATACAGCGTACCGCGAACCGCGAGGGGCATCTTGTGCGTTGATATGACGCTTATAGGCTATAATAGAGTGTATGTTACGTACGGTGCGGCCCGGACGTTATTGATTTTTTGAACGCGAAACCGCTTTCCGCAGATCTCCAACGCTCCCGGGTCCCGGACCACCGCGATAAGCTCAACGACCCGCTCCCGGTGAGCAACTGGGGTGGTTGACGGTTGTGTATATAGTATATCCGCGACGGTTCAATAAATAGCTGCAGCTAGGGCGTATTTATACAGCATATATTATTATAATTTATAATACACCGCACACGCGTAATATATATGACGGACGAGCGCAAATGTTCTCGAATTTTCGAGAAGCAGCGTTTTCATTTTCTTTTGTCTCATGTTATAGTTATAAACATAAACTAAAGTGAGATAGAGGTATTACGACTACCCCCTGCTAAAATCATAAGGGGCAATGGGGGCTACCATTGCTGGATATTTTGTAAATTTGTTTTAAAAATTGTTTAATATTGTACTGATGATAAATGATAAAGCATTTTGGGCTATGTAAAAATAATTCAGAAAAATATCATGCTAATCACATACTATTGAAGCCTACCTACATAAGAAAAATTTATTATTACCGATTGACTATAATACATTTTGTACTGAATATTTTATCACAATCTGAAACTCAATTATACCTGGTCAGTTTGATGTACAATAGAGGTATAAATGTATGATGCTATTTAATATTGATTTGAACTGAAGCGGAATAACTTACGGCCAATGAATCTATAATTGCATCATCAATAATTACAAGAATAAAGAACAATTTCATCTTCTTGGAAAGTCTTAAGGTACCTATGAAAATAGG